ACTCGCCATAGAGAACATCTTAACTCACAAATTTGGCCATGCTGGCAACCAGTGTTGGATAATTTAATAAAAATGAATAATGAAGAGTAATTGGATTTTCTGAACATGTAGTTACTCAAAGTTATTTACATCTTATTTTAATTGCCTAATTTTTTGTAAGTATGGCGTGGTAAGTAGGAGCCGGCGCAATTTCAGTGTTGTCAAATTGCTGCCCTGAATGGCCATGTTCTGCTTCTGTCATGGGCTAAGCGATATTTTTAGAGGGAGATAGTGAGTAGATCTAATTAACGTGTCGAAGATGAAAAGTTACTTCATTTTGAGAACACTGCGGCTGCGCCGGCTTTTACTCTGGCGCTCACTTTGCTAAAAATACTAAAATACATTCAATTTAAGCTCAATTCACTATAATATATTATTGGTAGAGTTTGTATTGACAGTAGCAGATGTTCCCCGACGGCTCTTATAATTAAGTTTGGAAGGGACAGAACCAGTTTGAACATACTACACGAAGTTTTCCTAAGTTGAGGGGCAAGTCTTAGGGCTTCGTGCATTATATCCACGTCTGGATACGTGAAATCTTTGAAGCTCGTCTTACAAGATGCAGATTTTTGTTTCTTTCTTGTCTCAGAAATCTAGCATTTTAGGAGCCTTAATTTATGTTGCCGTGTCTTGCAAGAAGAAAATAAGTGTTGTAAATGGTTATTTTTCTTCATTTAGGTCCCAGAGGCGCGTTTTTGAAAGTTCTGTTTTAAAGAAGCGCTTCGGAGTCCTAAATGAAGGAAAATTTGTGGTGTTCTGAAGGTAGATGACCGTTGATGGGTATGATCCCTACGACGACCATTAGATCGTCCCTAATATCTGTGGGGGGGGAGGTTGATGAAATTTCCATGTTGTTTGGAAACTGTTGCTCAGGCGTAGTGAGTGGCCTCCCAAAAAAAAAATTTTCTTTCTCCTACATACTACCCTTAACCTTTTTAATTCTAATACTTAGTGAGCATGATTCGTGCTTTAAAATTGTTGATGTAAATTAACAGAATTTGCACGTTCGAGTCGTAAAAGTAAGACAATAGAGAAAAGAAATGAGAGAAAAGCTCACTGTCATCTAGGCATGACTAAGTTTTGTTCTGTATAACATCTAAATTTTATCATAATTTCCAGTAACTTTTAAGTCTTAAACTAAGGACTAATATAGAACTAATTTCTGGAACTAATTTGGTTTAGTTTTTGATGCTTTGGCGTGTCATTGAGCAACGAAAGGCCAACCTTTGTGAAGGCTCGGTGCATGTTTTTTTTAAAAGAACATTGATTATGGTAAAATCTGCAGCATGGATTATGGTACTGCAGCTAGTGGGAATAGCCGAGGCTATTTCGGAGTGATGTTGACCGTTCGTTACTCAAGTTTCTTTCCTTTACACCGGTAGTTTATTGTGTAAATTGCATTTCAATATGGCATTGCTTGCGTCTTGCGATTTATTGTTCGATAAACCTACGGTCGTGGTATCGATCATTTCTCACAGCTTCAAATGGCTTAGCCATTGACGCACTGCGATTTACGCCGCACAGTGGTGTGAGCAACCAGTAAAGGTCGGACATCAAGGTGTTGACTGAAAATCTTAAATTTTGGGATGTGTTTATTCAAAGAAACTAACCTGAAAGGCTGTCTGTTAACAGGAATTTTATGAAAGAACCAGTGAAGCCACTCTTAAACTTTCTCATTTCTAGTTTCGATCTTATAAGTTTCCGAAGTTATTAGTTTGTGTTCGACCTCCCCTGCTGGCCCGGACCAGTGTGCGCCGCGTTTGTCCAGCACGGGATTTAAAGAAATGGAGTGTAAAAATAATTAAAAGTTGAACTTTCTGAATGTTGAGAAGCTAGACACTTGTAAGGAAGCTTGAAGCTTGAGAAGCTTGTAAGGAAGCCACCTAGGTATTAAGAGGTCTCCTCCATTGTAATGTGGGCGTAAGTTCTTCCATATATTTCAAAAAGCATAGTAATGAGACAAATTAGTTCTTTATGGAATTGTAATTTAAATGTGGGACGTTTGATGCCGAATGATCGGTCTTTTACTTAAGTTTATTTACTCATGGGGCTTAACTATTAAAAACTAAACCTATTCCTATCGTAATTGCTCTTTTTACAAACTGCGCGTTGCGCTTCGTTTCTTTGCACAGGGAGAAATTTCATGAATTTTCCTGGGGATTGTGCGAAACAATTTGGTATCAATTTCCGTCATTTCTTATGAAGATCATATACTTTGTCGTTCCCTCCACACAAGGGCGCCTCAGGGCCACCTCATGAGCTCGAGGAAGAATGGGTTCCTATGTGAATCGTGGCTCATGTGTGAATCGAGACACACCCCTGTGTGAGCGAAACAACGAAATATTAACGAAATATGAACTTGAAGCGAAATGACTTGAGAGAATTAAGTGGATTGAATGAATTGAATTGGAATTGAAATTGAATATATGATTGAGATTTTTCGATTTGGGGACTGTAAACTTTGCATAAAAAATGTGTGCTGAAGTTTGCCTGAACGACGCGGCGAGAGACCCTCCATTGCAGCGCTGCTTTTTCACTTAAAAGTAATTACTGATCGACTTATATAGAGAAATAATGAAATTTGTCAAACTCTGCGGGAAGCGACGGTCAGTCTGCTGTTAATTTTGAAATTACGTTTGGCGGGCAATTATGCATCACTGCGACAGGGGCCCGCGCCGTGAAGGAAAACAGAGTCTCAAACATCGATGGAGAATCACGAGTGTGAGAGTTTTGCTGATAATTTAATAATTTTGTCTATCAGGACTCGATTCTTGGTCGACTTGTCTCTATGAAGATCCGTGTCTCAATATAATTTTTGATTAACTGAATTTTTAAGCGAGGATAAGGGCGCGCGAGTACCGCGACGCTTCCGAGACTGTGACTAAAAAAATCAGAATTAAAAAATTAAATTGCCGTGAATTTGTTGATAAATTATTCAAAATTGTATCTGTTTGGTGCTCGGTCCCGGTAGTCCGCCATTCTCGCGCGTCCTTCTCCGTGCCAAAATGAAGGTTCCGTATTTTGATAAGAGTTGAAATTATTTCTGCGCATTTCATCGTGAAGAATAATGGACGCATTTCCATCGAACGGGGCTGCACGCACCGCAACATGAACCGTATTGTGCACGTGATCATAAGGGATTTAGGGTTCACGTCTCAATGCTCGCAGCTCCGCTCGGCAAAAAATGCACTCATTTAATTTTTCGAAAGATGCTCTGTATAAGGTATTCTTACTACTAAGTTTATGAGACAAATTGACAACGCTCCCGGATCATATGTCTCATCGCCATTGCGTAGATATGCGTTGCTCTCAATTTGCTGTTTCCGCGACACAAAGATGCATCCAAACTCTCGGGTGAGATCTGTTTCACGTATGACTGCTGGATCTCTGCGTCTCATCTCGTGGCTGGGATGCATCTCGGTGCCGCAGGAGCAGCAAATTGTGTTGCTGGTGAACAAGTTCGCTGAGAAAATGTTGAATTTTATGAACGTAGATCAATTGGACTGCGCAAATTCTAGTCCGGTTCTAGAACAACGCATGTGCCATTAGTCCCCCTATGCACACAAGTGTTTTTCCATAGAGGTCAAATTTTCTGGTTTCAACCTGCAATTTGCAGTCAAGCTAAAAGGTTCTGTTGAACACGTTCCGGTTTAAAAAATATAAATTTTAGTGACCGATTGGTACAAAAGAAAAAAAAATTAAACTAATTTTAATTAAATTTTTGGGAAATTGCTGATGAAGAAGGAAGAGAAACAAGGCTAAGGTTCGCTGATCAACCGTCTAGCTTTTCCCGAGCTGTTTGAGTTTATACTTTAAGAGCGCGTTACTAATTTAGAATCTCGATAAAAAAGTAAGATAATAAAGAATAAACGCATTTATCAAATTAGGGCGTATGCCTGAAAATCATTTTCCGTGAAGAAAATGTTTTAAGGTGGATTTCTTGTTGTGAAGTGAAATTATGGAAAGAAAGAGGAAGTCTGGCGCAAAAATGGACTGAAAATGGTGGTGAGAGCTGGAGCGTGTAAGGAAGTGGAGAGCATGCTATTTTTCTTTCGTTTACGTGATTTAGAGAAAGTTTGACGGGGAACGAAGTTTCTTCTCTGCCGAGTAAAGGTTCTTGGTTGTTCTTTTTTCAAAAATTGTGTAAATTTTTTAAGTTTACATTTACGAAGTATTTGATAGTACTGGGATTTTGCAGGTCGTAAAAATGTTTGCCACACTTTCAGACGGTCTCTAAGTGAATTCACCAGTAACATAGAGGAAGAGAGGAAGCAGTCACATGTGTTGAAGGCACAAATGCGAACTGCATTCGCCGTTGCTTCGAAATATTGGTGTAATGGGTTTTTTAAATGTGTTAGCCATTCTTTAATCGTCATTACTGCGCAAGCAAAGGCACAGCAGATTACAAGAATTAGAGGTAAATTTTTATTTTGAGGCAATTTATTAAATTTTTCGGCACATTTTTCATCAGAAGGAGAACTCATCTGTACGTTGGGTGGTTTAGTACGTTCCATCCCTGTAGGCGAATTCGTTGATTTTCGTTGAACTAATTCCCCTATGCAATCCGCAGTACATGCTCCTCGTTTTAATTCAGTTATGCTGCTGTTCAATGTTGCACATTGAAGGCGATGCCGCTTAGAAGATCCAAGCTTGAGCTTGTTTTTTGAATTCAAAAGTTTGCATAGACTCGCGCGCCAGGGGTGGCCAGTAGTGAAGTGTCGAATAATAGATAAGCATCTTGGGTCATTTACCCAAAATTTCCTTGTGGTTTTTGTAATTTGATCTCTTGACGCGTTACGCACGCCAAATTTAAAAGACTCCCTGAATTTTGGAGGTGATGATAGCTCAACAGGCATAATTTCTGTGCTGATTTTCGTGAAGGCCTCAGAGTTCCGGTGATTGTCACGAGGTTCCTTTACCGGAGCGAGTGCCATGCAGAATCCTATGAGATTCTCTTCATCTTGGTCATCATCCTGTAGTTGGGGCCGCTGGGTTGTTTTCAAATTTGGCGTATCTTGAATGAATTCGAGCTTAATGGGGTGTTTCACGTTTTTTCTGAGTATAACTTTTTGCGTGTCGAAACAAATGAGGGCCGAATAATATGTTAAGAAAGGTATTCCTAAAATTGCAGGAACTGGAATTTTGTCGGTGATGAAGCATGAAATTTGCAGTCTTTCCGGTCCTAGGTCAGCGTCGAGTATCCCTTCTCCTTTCGGCGAAAATTGTTCACTTGATGCAGTTAAAAGTTGAAAGTTTCTCACCTCTCGTACTTCGTCTTTGTTTACTAATCCTGGCTGCGCTAAGTTTACGGGAGATCCTGTATCTAACATAACATAAGGGATGTTTCTTTAAAATTTACCACCCCCTTGATTCGGAGAGGGCGTTTTAGGTTTAATTTTTTTCTGGTGCCATTTTCAATTGCACTTACAATTCCCAATTCCAGCTGATCATTTATAATTTTTTTCACGTGATCCGTTATTATTGCTGTTAATAATTTATTGCCTTTTTCATTAAGATCTCTGCCATTGTTATTAAATGCTGTCTTTGGTAGGTTCTCACTGTTTAGGCGAATATTTGTTAAGTTTTTCCCTGGTATCAACTGTCCTACCATGTCCGCATTCACAAGGCCAATTTTGTCATTTAGTCTGGTGACGTCATACCTTGGTAGTATTGTAGCATATGCTACGTGGTACGATTGGACCAGCTCCCTAATGCGTCCCAGTGGCATGTTATTTGTAATGGCTGAGTGATTTAGGAGGCAATATTGGCGGTCAAAATCGCGGTTTCCTGCAACTATAACTAAAATTGTTTTCCGATTTTTTTCAGGTGTTATATGATTTAGGTTATCCAATACCTCGTTCATCTCGGCTCCGGCTGAGCAAAACGTTTCAACCTTGGCAAAGGGAGTCAGCGTTTTCTTGACCTCGTCCGCTGCTCCATGCATTTGATAGTCTCCCACTATGATGACGCGTGGTTTTTCTTCTTCTCCTCGTGTGTCATCTACCAAGTTTACTGTAATCCGTGGCTTGTGTTTTGGTGTATGCGTTGTTGTCAGTTTTTCGCCGTTTTTTATAGTTCCGATTGGAGTGCCTTTCTGCAGTTTGAATGGCGATTTTGACTTATTTATAATTGTCACCAGGAAGTCTGTTTCGTTAATCATCTTCGTTTCTTCGTTGGGCTCAATATCGGCGTAAGTTATCTTGTACGGGCGGAATTCTACAGATGCCCGTACGTCTCGTTGGAAGTTTGGGGCTCTTGCTGGCGTTGTTGTGACCTCTCCCGGAGCTATTTGTACGTCCATGTTTAGGTAGGCTCTGGTTGGTTGTTTTGATTCTCGTGAAGCCTCTGGTTTTTGAATTACCTGAGAATCACTGGCATTCTGAGGCGTAGTTAGTTTTTTTGGTTCTTCATGTAGTCCTGGCATGCTAATGCGGCGTGGCCAGGTTTGTCACAAATTTGGCAGCGTAGTTGGCTTGTTTGCGGTCGCTCATAAGATTCGTCCCTTGGCGATCTGTCTCGGTACCTGGGTGAGTTCAAATAAGCGTCTAATCTGGTGTCCCGAGCTGTTTTAATCGTCATAATCTGAGAAACATGGGCAAATCAAATTTTTTTCTCATTTTCCACACTATTGTTGACTATTACATGCTATTTCCTACTTTATTTGGACTGAAATAAAAATTTAGGAGAACTTTGAATGTGTAAATTGCCTATATTTGTCCCAAATTTGCGTGTCCCCCGTGCCTGGTTCTTGACTTTAAATCGATGTTGCAGCATAACCAGAGTGATTATTTGAGAAAACTTTATCGGAGATGATAGGTAATGCTTTTGAATTTGAGAAAAAAAATATGTCAATTTTTTTTTTGCTCCATCAATAACTTTTTCACGCCCTAGAATCATTGTCCCGAGCAACAGTCAGCAACAGTCAGGAGAGACATGGCAACGATGTAATAAGCTCTAAATGATTGCCGTAACCTTGAGGTTTTTCCAAAAACGACTTTTTTTGTTTTGATTGAATAGTTCACACGTCGTAGATGGCAAAAATTCTGAAATTCGCAAATTTTTGTGCAAGATTAACGCCATTAACGATGCCAAACAGAATTCTATACACGATAACTAACAGGGCGTCAAGCATACACACACACACTAATATCAGCTCGTAAAATACTTTCGAAGTGTGCGTTAGGGAAAATTTTCTCTTATTCCGATCCTCTAGGATGTGCTACTAAATATTCCGTGAAAAAAAACACCAAAATTGTCTTTACTGTTAGAGATAAGCTTAAAAAACAGCTTATTCCATCCTGTCCCGTTCCATCCTGTCCCATATGTTTCCATCCTGTCCCATGTCCCAGTTAAGTGGGACACAGTGGAAAACTGTTACAACTGAGACTTGCTTGTTTAAGCCCTGTAGGCGCTCTTTTCTACCGATTTAAGTGAAAGTTGGTACTCGGGGGTATTTTTCAACGGGGAACTCGAATTTTTAGTCGAATTTTGAAAATTCGAAAATCCAAGATGGCGGACATGACCTAAAATGCTATCGCAGCGCCTAATCAACTGAGACTTGTTTGTTTAAGCCCTGTAGACGCTCTTTTCGACCGATTTAAGTGAAACTTGGTACACGTGGGTATTTTTTGATGGGGAACTCGAATTTTTAGTCGAATTTTCAAAATTCGAAAATCCAAGATGGCGGACATGACCTAAAATGCTATCTCAGCGCCTAATCAATCGATTTACGCGAAACTTGGTACCCGGGGGTATTTTGAAATGGGAAACTCGAATTTTTAGTCGAATTTTCAAAATTCGAAAATCCAAGATGGCGGACGTGGCCTAAAATGCCATCTTAGCACCTAATCAGTCGATTAAAGTGAAATTTGGTACCCGGAGGTATTTTTCAATGGGGAACTTGAATTTTTAGTTGAATTTCCAAAATTCAAAAATCCAAGATGGCGGACATGGCCTAAAATGCTACCTCAGCGCCTAATCAAGCGATTTACGCGAAACTTGGTACCCGCGGGTATTTTTGAATGGGGAACTCGAATTTTAGTCAAATTTCCAAGATTCGAAAATCTAAGATGGTGGTCGTGGCTTAAAACAGCACTATCTCGGTGACTAACTAATTGATTTTAATGAAACTGGACCGGAAAACCTTGGTATTAGGAAAAGAAAGGAAATTTTAATAGGGGTGCAATAGGGTTTCTTATGTATCTTAAGCTACGAAATCGAAAAATTCCTGGGTTTTTTCCATCGTGCATAGATTCTTCCGGAAAATTGACTCTACTGGAAAAGCTAGATTTTTAAGGAAAATTCCGATTTCTCCGGAAAAATTCCGAACTTTCCCAGGATAAATTGCACTGATACAGTTAAATGGAGGTGTTCTTCAGAATCAGCGCCAAAAATCTACTCCAAAACCATTGGCAAATCTTCGGAAAATCAAAAAAAAAAAAAGAAAAAAGTTGACCGGTGTTAGTCCTCAAACTTTTCCTGGCTTTATCCCCACTTCAGCGGGTACACGCCCACTCGAAGTTTTAAAATTCGATGTTTTTGATCCATTTTGTATTGCAATATTCCAAGAAATAAAAGCTTCTTCTCGTGTTAAAGGAAAACAGTGCGCATTTTGATAACAGACGGAACTGTCTAAAAGACAAACAGAATAAGCTCCAGATATCTTTCATGACGGATGATTTTTCCTCAATTTTTTTGGTTCTGCAAGATATGAAAGGGTTACATGTTTTCAATTATGCTTTAATATAGTGCTCGATGGTGCTTTTATGACAATTGTGTTCAATTTTCAATTAAAAGTATCATATGTCACCTCTGGGACGAAAATTTGGGAAATCAGGCAAAATTAGAGCAAATTTTGGGAAGTGATACACTTGACGGTGGAAATTCGGGTTTAAGCCCAACTATTAAGCTCGACGAGCTATATTTCCTAAGTCTACACCTAATGATAGTCAAAATAAAGTTTGGTTTGCCCAAAAATTCACAAAAAAGTTTTGGGAGGAAATAGAACCTGGAATTTGACCCTTATTTGAATTCACCCACCTATCGGGCGATGGTCCTCGTGAATCTCTCCGGTTTCGGTTTAAGGCGCAGGATCTGCTGTAGTGTCCGGTGTTGCCACATGTATAACATATACGCTCAATTTCCTTCGATGTACATTCAGATGTTATATGTGAGTTTTCCCCATACCGGCTCTGTCCTGCAGATAGGCGGTTTATTGCTGCCACCATGTCTCTGATGTCCTGTCTCTTTGTGTCCACGAGTTGAACGTGTTCCGCCTTGGCTACCAAAAGTGCTTCTATCTTCTCCATTTTCTTTTCTAGCTTGTGATATTTGCCTGGTGTTTTAATTTTTGGCGGCTTTTCGTCTTCTTCTTCATCTTCAGATGATGTTAGGAGTTCCAGCGCTTCTTCTGCTCCTAAGAGCGTTTCTCTTAAGGCCTCTAGTGTCTTAGGTCTTTGCTCTCGGACTATTTTTTTGGGTTGTGGTAGGAGGCCTCTTTTGATATATAATACAAGGGTTTTTTCGTCTATTTCATGTGGTAGCCTTTCCCTCAGGTCGATCATGGCGTCGAAATAATCCATTGGTCTCTCTGTTAGTTTTTGTTTCCTTGAGCTAAAGGCTATGATTGCCGAACTGTCTTTTTCTGTTACGAAGCGTGCTTCGAAAGCTTCTTTAATCTCCTCCCAGGTTTTTTCGTTTAATCCATTGTTCCTCTTTTCGTTGTCGTACCAGATTCTAGCCTTGTCGCTCAGGAAGTAGGCTAGGACTTTTTTGGCTGTCTCGTCGTTCCACCCGTAGGCATCTTTCTCGGCTTCTAGTCGTCTGAAATGTTGGGTGAGATTTTCCGATGTCTTTCCGCTGAAGTACGGGATCTTGAGTTTTGAAAATTCGGGTCTCTGCGCCATATCTTCTGCTTCTTCTGCTTCTTCTGCTTCTTCTTCTTCTGCTTCTTCTTCTTCTTCTTCTTCCTCTTGATGTTCTACCCTTTGATCTTCTTCTTCGTTTCTTTCGTCTGATGTATGCGGGAGTTGCTGCTCCTGTGTTTGGTTTTCTGGAGAGTGATGGTCGCTGAGGATTCCTGAGTCTCTTACGCTGTTTCCGCTATGAGAAGGGGTTTGTAGGGGGTTGATAGGTGATGTCTGCTCGTCGGTAGAATGCTGTGTTTGCTCGGACTGGGTTTTGTGTTTTTCTCTTATTGCGATTATGGTCTTTAGTGCTGTTCTGGCTTTGTCTACACTTGAGTAATTATAAGCATAACCCCTTTTGGCTAATTCGACTATTAATCGGTCTTTTGCAAGCCGGTATATATCGTTTGGATTACCTTTATGGTCGAAGGTAGTCGGGCGGATTTCTAATTGTTCCTCATACTCTTGTATTGACGCGTATTTAACAGAGAATGTAAGTACTCTTTTAATTTCAGTTTTCTCGCACTCGCTGGTGTTTTTGTTTAGTGTATTTTTTAAAAATAGAATAATTTTTTGTGGATCTATACGTTTCAACTCGTCTCTTACTTTATATGTTGTAATGTGGCTATCCAAATTAGTTTTGCCTTCTTGTCGGAGGAATGGTAAGATTTCGACATATGTTAGTTTGAATGAAATTAAATCTATGAGTAAATTGAAGGTATGCATTTCACGAGCATGGCACGGCACGGCATGGTTCGAGCGAGCATTTCAGCTGAAGGCTGCTAAATGTACGGTTGATCAGTGAATCTTGTACGTAGTTTGTACTAAAAAGGGGATGAAAGAGGGTGATCCAGATTTCGTAGAAAAATATTTTTGTATTTAAGGTTCTTGGCTGGATGGATGTGTCGAGTTGTGTTGTGACACCGCAATCGGTACGCGAAAAAAGGGTTAAAAAAATAAAAAATAATTAATAATTATTTTGTTTTACGATAAAAAAATTCGACGCAATAACTGCAATAGATTATTTAAACATCCCTAGTTCCAGTTGTAAGCGCTCGCCCGGTTCGAGATTACAATTGTGAACATAGCGATGTGGGTTTTGTTTTAGCACTCAAAAAAAAGAATAAAATAAAGGTCTGAAATGAGTAAACAATAATAAAAAAAAATTTGAGAGGGAAGAAAGCGGACTTTTGTTATTTGCAGGCGAAAAGCAGCGTTGCAATGTGTTAGCTTACTAAAGTGAAGATATAGGTTTTCGGTTCATAGATAAAGAGAAAGTTAATCAAAAGGCAAACAAACAACAATTAAGGGCAAATTTGAGGATACTGAATGTTTTCCGCTCTTTCTGCACCTGTAAGGAAGCACACACAAACAGTAAATTTACCAATTTATTATAGACTGGCACCGGTTGTTCTTCGTTATCTGGAGATCCTGAAACTCCTGATAGTTGTAACGCGAAACGCTACCAATGAGCTGATCAGATAATGTAGTAAACAGGGTAGTTGACGTCTTCTAAAAGTGTCAATTTTCTGCAGGTAAATTGCCTGGTTTCCGGAAGGGATTTTATTAAAAAGTCACACACAAAGATAGTGGCGGAAATGAGTAATTTAACTTGATCAAATTTCTTGATTTAATTCTATGTAGATCAAAATGGCTTTCTAGTGGCAAAATTATAGTGAATGAATTTAATTGTCGAGGAGACTGCTACAAAAAAAACGTTCAAAAAAAGGTCATGAAGAATGGAAAAAAAACGAAAATTTGAAAGTGAAAAGTTTATAGTGAAAGAGCACTGAAGAGTAAGCAAGCAAGCGTAGCACAAATACTGAGTGACAGGGCTCTTACTTGGGGAATTTTTCGCTCTCACTGTTCTCTATTAATTGTTTCTGTAATTGTATCTAATAATCCTAAAGCACGTAAGATGTTTGTAAGATCTAAAGGTGCCTGTAATGATCCGTTTGGGATTTGCTGCTGCTCGGCGTTAGGAAGATTAGATAGGACACGGCTGACGGTATTTTTACGTTTTTTTGGCACAATGTAGCACATGAGAATGGAATATTACCGAAAAATATGTTGATAAGTGAGGTAAAACTCGAAATTTTTGAAAATTTTGTCAGGTCGGAAAATTGGGGTTCAAAATTTTTATTGAAGAGAGAAGAGAAAAAATTTGAAAATAGAAAAGGGAAAAAAAATTTTTTAAAAAAATAATAAGTAAAAAGAAAATTTATTCGAATGAAGAATTTTTTTTTTGGGGAGCTTCGTGGATGTGTTAATTCTAAACTTCCTCCTTTCAGAATCCTGCAAGACGGTAGCAAAGTCAGATCACCTTGGTCGATTTTACAGACTTACTCAGCCTTGAACCGCGAGGTCACCAAATAATTTTAATGACGTCAATTCACAGTCCGTAGCCGAGCTACAGTTTTGAACCGCGAAGTCACCGAAGAAAATTCGGTGACGGCTATTCACAGTCCGCAACTGAGCTGTATCGGGGTGAACTATCTCTTGCTGAGCTTACAGAGCAAAGGAAGTCAGAAGCGAAGATTCAACACGTTTAGGAAGATCACCAACATTAAATCAAAATTGATAACTGACGGCGAAAGAAAGGGGAAAAAAGAAAAAAAGGAAAGGAAAGAGAAAAAAGAAAAAAAAAATCAAAAAGAAAAATAAAAATAAAAAATTATCGCTGAACGGAGTGTGTGCGGAGAAAAGGATGTGATTAATTGGGGCAACTATGGCCTCTTGGCCGTAATTTTTAATAAAAGTTAATTTTTAGGTAGAGCAAAGAGTGTCTAAATTTATTGTAAAAGAAAGAAAATTTTTACCTGGAAAAATGACCTAAAGTTTTTGAAAAATTTAACGCGATTAAGTTGAACTTAAAAAAAAAAAACTTCAAATAATTTATAAATAAAATAAAAATAAAATTTCTAAAAATTTTCACACTCAAAAAAAAAATTTTGCTTGGCTGCGAATGAGGTACGGGACAATAGCACACTCCGGGGAGTATAGTGTTATTACCCGGGACCTCCACCACTTATAACGTGCTCAGCTCTCAGAGCCAAGTAGCTGAATACGTAGGGGATGATCGCAAATAAGGGGGCGTAAATCCACCAGAAAGGGTAGTCCTAGAATAGGGAAGGTAGATCTAGGGGGATGTAAGAGCCCTTTCACTCTATATAGTTGGTCACCTACCTCAAGAACGTATCCTAGAATCCTAAGACAAAGGAGGAACACGTAAGTAGGAGATGGCCACTCGATGTATTGGGTAACGGTACAACTACAACTAGGTCACACAGACCTCTAACAACTATCACACAGATACAACTACTACAAAAAAGGGGGTCTCCAAGCAGGAAGAGCCGTCGGGAATGCTGGACGGGACTTTCGGCGAGGGGAGGGATACTCAACGCTCAATCACCGGGGTGAGACGCGGGATAGGGCAACTTGAGGAGTCAAGGACTTAAAAGGGGGTGAAAGACCGCTGGGGCGAAAGGGGGGTCGGGGACGGACCGTAGGACCACAACTTTCGGCCGAGGGATACTCGAGGACTTGACTACGGGGTGAGACACGCGTCGGGGTCCGCGAGGAGGCGTAGACACGGTTTGTGAGACGACTGACTTCAGGGGATTTCAGCAGGCCAGCGGATGGGTCCCCAGGCCAGCGGATGGGTCCCCAGGCCGCTGATTCCCACGGTTAGCTCGCCGAAAACCCCTGACCATGCATGTCACATCCGTCAGGACTCCAAAATCCCCGGAAAGCAACTGGTTAGGTTGCCATCCCGTGGACCTTGGTCGCCCGGCGCCCGAGACTGGGGTATACGCAATTGGGAGATTCCTCGGGCTATCTGACAAGGCTGTGTCTGGTGATGTCACCGAGCGATGTCACTGACGGATGTGACAAGCTGTGTCATGAAAAACTCGCGGATCCACCGATCTCGCGGCGCGATATTGGCTCGCTGCTTCCAAAACCGCCGTAACTCCAACATTCCGTTATAACGTCACTGCCTTATAGACGAAATTTAAGGTTTTAGGAGGTATTTTTCGACGAATGTTTGTGGAAATTGGTAAGCGGGGGTATTGTTCTCGGGGGATCTCGAATTATTGGTCGGATTTTCAAAATCTCAAAATTCAAGATGGCGGCCGTGGCCTAAAATGCTAAGTCGGCTCCTGTTATATCAATTTTCGTGAAACTCGCTATCCAGAGGTATTTTTCGACGAGAAACTCGAATTTTTGGTTAGGTTTTCAAAATTTCAAAATCCAAGATGGCGGCCGTGGCCTAAAATGCTATATCGCTTCCTGATATCGATCGATTTTTATGAAATTCGGTATTAGGAGGTGTATTTCGACGGAAAACTCGCATTTTTGGTCAGATTTTCAACATTTCCAAATCCAAGATGGGGGCCCCGCACGAAAACGCGGTCCGGACTCCTAGAACATCAATTTCTGTAAAACTTGGTGAAAAAGAAGATTAACACATAGATATTGTCTCCTCATCAATGTTAAAAACTGTGCGGGGCGGTGGCGGCTCGCGGAGCGAGTCGCAAGTTCGTCGCGAAGCGTAGAACTGGAGTCCAGGGGCACTCCCCGACTAGACGTGTCAGCTCGCAAAGCGAGCTAATCACGACTAGTTATTCTATACAGGGTGTCCCAAAAGTCCCTTCCACCCCCTCTAAAATTTTACCTAATTAATATTTTGAAACGAAACTTTGGGGATGTTCATCGATCAATGTTAGCTACTTGTGGGGGCCCCCCAAAATTTTCGGGCCCCCCCGTTGGGAGGGGCTGCGGACCCCAACTTTTTTTTTTCAAATAGCAACCCCTATCTTGTGATACCTCATTCAAAAGAACATAAAAAACTAAGAATTTTGGCGCAACCCGCAGATCAATATCTTAATTTTTGACCGAGTTATGATAGGTCAAAGGTCAAATTTGACCTATTTTCAAAAAATTATAACTCCGGTTCAAATTATCGTAATGAAAAAAATAAAACGGGAAAATTTACCACATTGTAGGCACTTTTAAGGAAAAATCACAGAAATTACTTCAAACTAATTTTAAGGGGGGTTTTGGACCCCCAAATACGTCAATTCAAAGGTCATTCAATTTTCCCGCGAAATAAGCCAATTTCCCCCAGATTTGCCTCCACATCAGTTCAGTAAGGTCAAAATCAGTTCAACATTACGTTGGCAAGTCCCCAAATTTCGGGAAAAGTTTAAAAAAAAACGAAATTAAAGGTGATAAAATTTGACCGTTTAAATTTTTTTTTTTTTAACTTTTCCCGAAATTTGGGGACTTGCCAACGTAATGTTGAACTGATTTTGACCTTACTGAACTAATGTGGAGGCAAATCTGGGGGAAATTGGCTTATTTCGCGGGAAAATTGAATGACCTTTGAATTGACGTATTTGGGGGTCCAAAACCCCCCTTAAAAGTAGTTTGAAGTAATTTCTGTGATTTTTCCTTAAAAGTGCCTACAATGTGGTAAATTTTCCCGTTTTATTTTTTTCATTACGATAATTTGAACCGGAGTTATGATTTTTTGAAAATAGGTCAAATTTGACCTTTGACCTATCATAACTCGGTCAAAAATTAAGATATTGATCTGCGATTTGCGCCAAAATTCTTAGTTTGTTATGTTCTTTTGAATGAGGTATCACAAGATAGGGGTTGCCATTTGAAAAAAAAAGTTGGGGTCAGCAGCCCCTCCCCACGGGGGGGCCCGAAAATTTTGGGGGCCCCAAAAGTAGCTTACATTGATCGATGAACATCCCCAAAGTTTCGTTTCAAAATATTAATAAGGTAAAATTTTAGAGGGGGTGGAAGGGACTTTTGGGACACCCTGTATAAAGCTGCAGGTACCACTCACTCTGCCGCCGCCCCCCCCCCCAGAGAAAAATTGGCCAAAGCGAATTCCTTTAAACTTAATACACGCTTAGCAATTGTCGTGAGAAGTTGATCAAAATTATTCCGATTACAATCCGCTGCCTAGGACGCCCGCAACAGCGGAAAGTTGTTTTTCCCTATAGTCGAGCATTGGGGATACGCGGTTGTTTACGCGCACAACGCCGAACAGGTTCAATTCTGTCGTGTGACGTCACAGCCTTATAGACGAAATTTAAGGTTTCAGGAGTTATTTTTCGACGAATTTTCGTGAAACTTGGTATCCGGGCGTACTTATCGACGGGAAACTCGAATTTTTGGTCAGATTTTCTAAATTTTAAAATCCAAGATGGCGGCCGTGGTCTAAAATGCTATTTTGCTTCCTAATATCCATCGATTTTTGTGAAAATCGGTATTACGGGGTATATTTTGACGAGAAATTAGAATTCTAGGGCCGATTTTCAAAATTCAAAAATCCAAGATGGCAAACGTGGTCTAAATTGCTATCTCGGCTTCGGATCCATCGATTTTTGTGAAATTCGGTATTAGGAGATGGAGGTGTATTTCGACGGGAAACTCGAATTTCTGGCCAGATTTTCAACATTTCAAAATTCAAGATGGCGGCCCCGCACCAAAATGCGGTACCTGCTCCTGGAACATCAATTTCTGTTAAACTTGGTGAAAAAGAAGATTAAGACGAAGATGTTGTCTTCTCACTTATGCTAAAAACTATGCGGGGCGGTGGCGGCTCGCGGAGCGAGTCACAAGTTCATCGCGAAGCGAAGAACTGGGGTCCAAGGGCATTCCTCGGATAGATGTGTCAGCTCGCGAAGCGAGCTAATTACGACTAGTTAATCATATAAAGCTACTGCACCGAGATTCCAACAACACTTTACAAAAAAACTGTCGGAGCGATTTCCTTCAAACTTGGCAAGAATGAAGCTAAGAACCTTCTCTACATGCCTGAAAAATCAAATTTAGACAAAAATGCCGTGGTAAATGCCCCAAAAAAAAGGAAAGTTCTTTCTCCCTATACTAATGCATTGGAAATACGCGGTTACGGTTGTTCACGCGAACCGCGCTGAACAGGTTCAATCCTGTCGCGTGACGTCATAACATTTTAGATGAAATTTCAGGTTTCAGGGGGTATTTATCCACGGATTTTCGTGAAACTTGATTTGCGGGGGTAATTTTCAACGGGAAACTCGAATTTTTGGTCCGATTTTCATAATTTCAAAATCCAAGATGGCGGCCGTGGCCTTAAATGCTAAGTCGGCTCCTGTTCGCTCGATTTTCGTGAAATTCGGTAACCGTAGGTAGTTTTCGACGGGAATCTCGAATTATTGGTCAGATTTTTAAAATTTCAAAATCCAAGATGGCGACCGTGGCCTAAAATGCTAAGTCGGCTCCTGTTCGCTCGATTTTCGTGAAACTCTGTATCCGGGGGTATTTTTCAACGAAAAACTCGAATTTTTGGTCAGATTTTCAAAATTTTGAAATTCAAGATGGCGGCCATAGCCAAAGATAACATCCTCGCCACTATTTACCACTTCGTTAAAGAAAGGTAAACTCGTTCCTTTAAAAGTTTATAGCTATGAGGGCGGCTCGCGGCACGAGTCGCAAGTTCATCGCGGAGCGAGGAACCGGGGGTCCAGGGGCACTCCCCGGCTAGGCGTGACAGCTCGCACAGCTCGCTGAACACAACTAGTATGATATGAGCTTAAAGGTGTGTGTATTAGCCGAGAGCTCTGAGGCTCAAGTACAGGCGTGCTCGTGTAATTTTTATAAATTCGTTCGTGTCACGTTTTGTTTTGAAATTTTTCACTTCTGCCAGCTACGTACAGCCCAGCTTGGCGGTTGCTATCTCAGTTGCTAATGCTAACCATCTTCTTTCGTACCCTTATTTAATAGGGGTTAATACTCTTATTCCCCTTGTAATTTAATAACTGGTGGTTACAATTTTGTGAGAAATCCGGCTTACTAGCGGTGTATCTTCATCAATTGGCAATCATATCTCCTTGGTAATTGTGCTCACAGATGGAACTAGCAAATGATCAACAATGAAGAGAGGAAAACAAAGAAAAATTTGGAAGGAAGTTATTTTGAACACTTTGAAACGTAAACAGTGCTCATTTCAACAAGGTTTTTGGTGGTCTGGACAATTTGGGAAGTCAAGAAATTTGCAGCAACCTAGGAAAGTCAGGGAATTTTGCGAGAATTGTGCCGGCTCATTAATTGCAGTTGGTGCTATTTGTGGTTCGCTTGAGCGTGAATATCTTCTGCGTGCCTTTTTCCTCATTTTAAATCTCTAAAAAGTAGAGGTTTGAGTAAAGATCAGGGAAAGTCAGGAAAAAGTCAGGGAATTTGAAAATGAAGAAATTATGCAAACCCTAAGTAATGATTAATTATATCCAATAATAGTTCATATATAATCAGTAATAGATTATCAATGTTCACCACTCAACATCCACAAAAAGAAAGCTATGTATACAGATGAAAAAAAGGAAGAAAAAATCAAAACAAAACATTCGCTGAAGTGAAGAAAAGTTTATGAGGATCCCTGTGGTTTAACCTGAAATCTCCTCACTAGAGCTCACTATGCCTCTGAACTATCTGAGGGCTGAAATGTGTGGAACATAATTTTGCTACTTCAGCAAGCGATTTGCCATTTGGTTGAAGATAGTATCAAATAGTCACATTATGTCCCTTAGGTCCTTGTGGAGAAACTATCGACCAGACTCCCTCAAAATCCAGGTCGGACATAATAGTAGCTCCCTTTTTATATTCTGTCCACCCCTGAATTTCACTGTCCACCCCAGTTTCTTCCTCTCGTGCTCTCTCTCTTCCTTACCTCTCACCCTTAATTGTTTATTGTTGCGCTTGTTATCGATGGCTAATTAACAATATCTCCTATCTGCAAACTGACAATTTTGCAGAACGAAGGAAACTTTGGCATTTTTCTAAATTCGAGGTTAGATTTGCTATTTTTTCGTACATTTTTGCGTCATTGAAGCGCTCCCCTACAGAATTGGGAAAAAACCAAAATTATCAGCTTTGCGTTTGTCATACTATGAATTGCGGCAAAGTCGCTAACTCATTCCCTTAAGAAATGCCAGGATTCACATGTTTTTCGGCCCCTGAATGGATCAACAGGACCTGCGCCAAATTGAAGCAATGATACTAGTGTAAGTCTTAGGAAAGACTCACTGCTGAATTTTTGGTGAAATCAGTGTATCAAATTTACATAGTAAGAAATTCATCTTTAAATCTAATCTCTGAAAAATTAGGTGAAACTCGTGAGGTTCATACGGAATCAAACATTTCTGAAAAAAGGGAGAGATTTGAAGCTCAGAGGTCCAAGATTTATGAATATGCTCTGCTCTTAGAAGAAATTAACGAGGGGGCACCGTTGCCCAGACCCTTTGAGCTCTTTCCGCAACATTTTGCTCTGGTGCTCAAAATTGTGACCCCAACAAATTTTTGTAATCGTATTTTACTTGTCTCTTTCAGTCATAGCACGGAGGTCATTCGATCAAACATGGACTGTCAAAATTGGGAAAAACTAAAAACCGAGCACAGTGACCATGAGTTTCCCAGGGAGGTAGCCATCTTGCTCAGTTCTGCCATCAAACCAACTTTAGAAAATGAACGCTTTAAGCAGCGTATCATGTTTGAAATGGCTTGTAGCAGTGCACCTAGTTATAAAATTCTCAAAAACCCCAATGTCACCACCTTGGATATAATCGAAGCATTGAATGTAAGTTACCAACAGTTTCTTAATTTGATCAATTATTGTATTTTTTGCGTTCTCCCTCATGGTGGGACCTAGACCTGGGACCATGTAAAGAGCACCGATCTCGAGTCGTAGATCACGAATATATATGTCATTCATTTTCTGTCATATATATATATATATATATATATATATAATGCAGTTTTTTAAGAGGTATCGGTCACTATTGTTTTTTCGTATGGATTTTCCCATACCAGCAAGAACCTCAATTGAGGAGAGTTGGATGTGGGTAAAGAAATCAGGCCTGTTGTCAGCGCCACTACCGGTTTCACGCTTGTTAGCGATCGTCAGGTGTGCATAGACAGCCAGTCCCGATTTGAAGCCGGAACACTCTGAGATGCCGTGCAAATCAGAATGCCAAACTCCGGCGGGAACCACACTAGCAGCGCGGCTCACGCCCTCTACCGTTAAAAAATTGCATTTCATAAAAATGAATGACGGTCGTAACAAATCATTTGATATATATCTATATATATATGTATGTATGTATGTATGTATGTATGTATGTATTTATTTATTTCAGCCAGCGTGAGGATTTTTCAGTTTTCAGAGCGTTGACTGGCAGTTAATTTTTAAGTTTCTTGAAACGAAACTTCTGGGGTTTATAGTCCCCTAAGAGTACTTTGAAACTGTGAAGAAAAAATCGGAATATGTTAATTACTTTTCGCACAGCGAGGGGCAAAATCGGGGGAGGTGTAATTTTGTCCACGCAATAATTCGAGTAAAAATGAATATTTTGAGCTGAAATTTTGATGGTAGTTAGATCTCTACTAAGACTGGTTTCCTATTGAATTTCAGCGAAATCGGCCGACGCGTTCCATAATAGTGGCAATTTACAGTTTTTACGGGTAAAGGGGGGGGGGGGGTAGGAGTTGCGCAGTCAAAGGGAACTGTTTCTTGAAACATATCTGTGTCAAGAGGGGTTGGGTAAATGATTTCATACCCCAATGTGACACTACCCTTCGGAAAATACACTCATGGCGCGGTATCTTTGTATTCAATTCTCTACCTTTTCAACGAGTTATGTGTATATGCTAATTAGGTAATTGATATTTTGAATGTAAGTAATATTAAGAAGAATATCTAGAGCTTGATTTGCATGTAATTAAACACTTCTTAAGAATATTGAAGTAATTTCAGTTTGTTTGCAAAGTTAGTTCTTGATCCACAGCATATTTATGAAGTTAAGTTGGTAGAAGTGTTAATCCAAGGGAAGGGAGAAGTTAGAGAAAGTGAAGGAACTTGAAAAGTTTGAAGTTTGGAAAAAGCAGGAAAGGTTTCATCTCCTTTGTAGAAGCTAGGTATGATCAGTGCATGTCAGCCAATTCATGATTGGATTCCCAGCCACATACTGTCTGAGTTTTTCTACTTTAGTCGTGGCCAACTCACAAGGGGACAAAGTACCAGGAGCAGAATTGGTTGCTGTGCCGTACACTGAGACAATAAAAAACTATCTTTGTTCTTCGTATATAAACTATCTAATGCACATTGGCGGATCCAGCAAATTGGCAACATCGTCTTTTCTCCATTTAAACGTATAGAAATGTATTAATTTTTGGAGGGGCCAGGTGCTCCAACAAAAATCGATTATTTAGCATAGGTTTAAATGGAGGCAATCTGGTGTTGCCAAATTACTAGAGCCGTCTCTGCTAATGCGCCACATTCCTCAATGCTTGACCTATTGTTGCTATTGATGTTTGGACCTGGTGGATTTAGGTTTCTATCGGCACTGAGAAGATATAATGTTTGTGGGAGAGCAATGAATGAATACTTTGTAGGACGCATGTATATGTATGTAACTGAATTGTGATTTAAGATTTTACAAAAATGATTTCACACGAGAAATGTCTGAAGGGCGAGGGAGGCATACATGCCGGAATTAGTCATGATAGAAAGCCCATTCTTATATAGACTTGTTGATGTCACAGGTGGTGAGACAAGAAGGCTACGCTTGATTGGGTGGCTATAATCATTGCAGCAATCAGTCGCAAGTCTAGTCATTCAAGCCAATGCAATTGCTGGACGATATGATGGGGAAAAAAATGAAACTTTAGACACAAATGCTCAAATCCAGCAATTGCAAATGACTAGAAGAAAAATATGGGAAATTGGGAAAATGAGAGAAAAGCTGAGTTGTGTGCTCAAGGCACACGCGACACTTAACCGAAGCTTTTTTTATTGGACTGTCCATCAAGAAAATCATTGACTGGTGTATCTCAGTCCTAGTCAGGGAGGCACAGCTTGTTTTTCAGGTTGCGACGAACCTGCCCCCACTTCTTCAGAGGCCCCTAGTCATGCATTCATCGTGAGGCTGCCTGTGCCCAGCCTTTCACTCTTGGGTACCACAGGGTACTTAATTAGAATATGAGAGTCAGTAAGTTGCACACGATAATCTATTGGCATAGGTAATCAATTTACTGTAAATTTACATTATGTATGAGTTCAGACACTGCAACTTTTCGAATGTTTACATCTGTACTGTTATTATTCGTATTGTTTTCGTTGACTATGCACACCAAGAAAGTTTTTTCTTTTTTTAGACCAACAGGAATTTGATAGCATCACACAGTATATTTTCAATCAGCATAGAACGAATGTTAGCTCGGCAGCAGCATCCTAGTTTGGGCGAGATGGAGTACATCAGCTTGGTTTGATCGATCTTGGTGAAGCAATTGGCTCTTTCAACTTTGTAAGAAGAGTGAAAATTGGTCAAGAAGTTGGTTCACTCCTTCTTAACTTGAAACAGAACGCAGTTAATCATTAATGAGAAATTAGCAGATTTTGAGCTACGTGTTCTACCTTGTTTTTGCGTCACATTCCATCTGGAGGTACATGTTATGTACAGAAACGGATGGTAGCGTTTCTCTCAGGCCATTTTCTAACTTATTCCTCTTTATCATTGTTATCGTTCTTTGCATTTCTGCATCAAATTTTGGATGTAGAGCCGACTGCACACACAGCAAGTGGGGATCTGCAAGTGACTGCAAGAGGCTCATCGGTGAGCGTGCAAACTGCGCGGGCCGCGCAGTCTGCGCGATCAACACTCAACACAGCGGCACTGATGTGCCACTTGCAGGTCCCCACTTGCTGTGTGTGCAGTCGGCTTAAATCTGACTTTCATATTTCACATTCATCGAGTAGTAGTTTCACTACTTATACTCACCTCTGTTTCCTTTACGTTCAAGAATTAAGAAACTACTCTGTTGTCTCTTGTATACTGATTTATTACATTGTAAAGATATTGTATATAATTCCTTTGGAAGTTTACAAAATAAAAATCTTTAAAAAAAAAAAAATAAAAAAAAATATTCATCGAAGTTTACCCTTATTTTAAAAGTTATACAGAAAAAAATGGAATTAAAAGAGGTTAGGTCAATACAATTATTTCCTCTTAGCTTCTAACCTAACTCTTATGTTACTTTTTTAAAGGTGTGCAAAGAAGGTGTTCGTGTTGAAAATCTGCATCATGTGCTCTCTTGAGGCGAAATTGTGAATGAGTCTGTAGGGAAAAACGTTTTTACTGCATTAAGCTATGTCAATACGAGGGCTGTTAGATTAGAAACCGGATTTTGGTCATAACTAGCCCACAATGCGTCCGAATTAGATTTTCTTGAGCTTTCCTGATAGCTGAAAATATACTTAAGAACGCTACATTCACAGATTTTGTTTATTTTGATCAGTGTTTATTCTAAGTCATCTTGAACAGGAGTAAGTCAGGTGCGTTTTGCGATTTTCATCATGCGATCACTGATAGAGCAAAGATTCGACATTAAATTTTGTTTTAAACTCGGTAAACCTTATACAGAAACTTTTGGTATATGCTAAGTAAAGTTTACCATGATCATTGTATGAGACGTTTCCACTGTTTTGAAAGGTTTAACGATTCAAAACTGGTCAGGAGTTCGTTAAAGATGAGGAGCATGGGAATCGACCCTCAACGGCAACCGACATTTGTCACGTGGAAGAATAAGTGCGGACAAAATTGCTCGAAAATGGTCGTTTCGAGCTTGTTGAACAGAGTAGTATTTCTGAAAGCTCTGTACGTACAATTTTGATAGAGTATGTAAACACGCATCAAGTTCCAGGTACACTTGCCCCTTGATTGTTGTCCGTTGAACGAAAATCCAACCAAATGCCAATTTCCCTTTAGCTGCTTGAACGCTCCAACAATGATCCTACATTTTTGGATAGGATAATTTTCGGTGACAATACTTTAGTATACGGCTACGATATGGAGACGAAACTCCAATCGCCCTTGTGGGCTGAAAAATGTAGTGCAAGACCGAAAAAAGAGAGACAAGTTCGGTCAAACATAAAAATCGCAAAACACCCTTGAGGTTGCCTTACTTTAAGCCACATACCAACGAAGCTAATTAAGATTTTTCAAATTTGTGAACGTAGCGTTCTTAAATATATTTTCAGCTATCAGAAAAGCTCAAGAAAATGTAAATTGGACGCATTGTGGGCTAGTTATGACCAAAATCGGGTTTCTAATCTAACAGACCTCGTATGTTTTATGTTCATCATTACTATGAGCATCATTACTTTGTCCTCTTCTTGTGATGGGCCGAATAATTTATTGGGGTGAATCAGATGAATGCCTCCTAGAATTCTAATACAAAACTGATTTCTTGTTGAACATAGTTTAAAATAAACATAGTTTGAAAGCGTATCTCGTTTACTATTACAATTAAAAACAGAGGAATAAATTGAATATATGTGAGAGAAGTAGAACTCCAAGAAAAATCCGAAGATTATCGAAATTTTGATGGAAACAAATCAATAAGCAAATTAAGAAGAAAAGGGGAAAAAAACAGCAAACAAACAAAGGAATACACGTAAAGTATACTAGAATTTTTGGCAGCTGATGGTAAGTGTGCAAGAGTGATGAACACTGAGTGTCGCATTTAGGCTGTATTTTGTATTCCTATTCAACCAGAATTTGAAGTCACGATATTCTTTTTCTAATTTTTCTCTTGTAATAGAATTCAAAATTTTTCATTCAAAATTCGGACAAATTTTTTACAAATTTTTCAAAATCAGACGCATTTCTCAGGCTCGGATTGAAAGATTATAAAATCAAAAACCTTCAAACTTTTCAGTACATGATTTGTTTCAATAATAATAAAACACCTGGTCCAGATAAGATGCAAAGCCTCTGGTTCAAAACAATTCCTAGCATCCATAAGTACCTAACTGTCGAGTATAACAAACTACTTAACAGGAAAGAATTCCAACTCTGATCAGCTGAAGGGACGACATACTTGATAGCAAAAAATAGAGAAACTGCAAATCCTTAAAACTCCAGGCCCATAACTTGCCTCAACATAATGTATTTTAAGGAGCGATTTGATATTTCCTGCAAAGTAAATCAGGTGCTTGAGTCCCATGTTTTTTGAACAACGCATACTGTTGGGAGAAATTTATCGGATGGGTTATCACCTAGAGAATAAATAGAAACCTCATACTATTCGGGGTTTTTAAAACCAGCTGTGAATAAACTACTGGTTAATTTAACCGTTTTTTGCTGGCAAGCCTACCAAGCTAGAAACTGGAGAAAAACCATCGAAAATTGCGACAATCGTTGCCATCCGACACAGGCCACACCAAGTTTTAAAATCCATATTTAAATGTGTTGAAATCTTCTCCATGATCGAACCTTAGGATCCTACCCAACAATTTGAAAATTCGAGCCATTTTCCATTTAATATTATGTACCTGTAAAAAATGTGGTTTTCCGGTGGCCCGGGTAGCCCTATCAAAAGTACCTTATATTCCTAATCCGAAAACATCGTCATTTTGTTTGTCCCGTCTATTATTGTGTTTGTTGTCTTTTCGCTTTTTCAAAATGTCGCATTCATGCATTGAACAAGTGAATTAAAGTTTTAATTTTGAATTTCTAACTAAATTATGATATCAACGAAGCTTCATATTTTTAACTTTTCATTAACTCTGCATTTCGTGTCTACCCTCATATCAGGCTCAAACGAGTTAATTGAAAAAATGCAATACTCTATAGTCCCATATGTTATCTCTCCAGTTCCACTCTTCATCCCAAGAATGAGAATGAGTTTCAGACGTGGATCACTGCTGGTTTAATCACAACGATAATACTTCATTAGATTTTATCTATACTTTAAATATTAATACATGGATTTTATTCTGCTGTGCTCCACTGGCCTTGCTTCCTCCACCTATATCATTTCACTAGTTGTTATTGGGTGTTACGGAAATTCCACTGAAGTCATATAAATAAATTAATGTTGTTATTTCGAATTGAAACTAAATTATACCAATGAAACTTCCCTTTATTTTTCCCTACTATCTCTAAATTTTGTGTCTACCTTTATTACCGTGCTGCAAGTTCTGTGTAACTTCCTCCATCTCTGGTTCATTTATTAGTAAGCAAAACTGTAAGTACCTTTGACAGTAAGTAAATTTTAATACCGTCATCCCTACGAAGATCTGTTCGATGTCAAAAAATCCCAGTAATCTGGTTTAAAGCGAGACCCATGTCAAGGATTTAAAGGCAGTATCAGTAGTTTCAGCAACAAATCTATGCTGAGTCGGATGCCAAAATTCTACGTAAGGTATGTGCTGAACCATTTCAATGTTAGTCCAGGCGCCTGGTAAGTCTACCTGGAATTTTGGGTACATAGCGATTTTTTTGGCTTACTTTAGATTTTTTGGGTTGCTGAATCCGAATCTGAAGTTTCCTACCGCGTATATGATGAGAATTTTCCGCCATTTTGAAAAAATGGCCTGATAAGGCCTTTTTTTGCGGTTTTTTTATATAGCGGTATGAAGAGTGTCGGCCACCCGTTTGTTATCGGGACTTTAGTAGGACGTCATTTTCCTCGACCGGGGGTGGCTACCGCCACTCTTGATGGGAGCATCCATTGTGACGTACTATTGAGTGCAGCCGAGTTAGGGCCGGGCGGGGAAGTGGCTTTCAAAAAGATGCGCAATGACTGACCTGTGTGGATTGGTCTTGGTTTACATTTCAGTTCTGTGTCTACAAGTGTCTGCGTCAGGAATCGTTCTCCAAGAACAGCATCTCATGACTGCAGCATACAGATGGAACTTAAGCTTGTTTTATGGTTTTATTTAAACAACTTGTGCTCTAAACTTGTCGTTGAAGTGACAAATGGTGTCTATTACTGTACCCGAAAGCCTAGCGTAGAAACTTTTGAGCACCTGTCTCAGTGTGAGCGGTCCTTTGTTGCGGTCAAAGCTGCTCATTGATGACAGTTTCTCAAAGGAAAAGTCTTCGATGGATCAAGAAAAATTGTCTCCCTGAAATAGTAGTTAACACCCTTTCTTCATGACAATCTAAAAATTTAGTCCTCGCCCTAAGTTTGAGACCATTTCTCAGTTTTATCCTTGGTGTTGCGGTGTCATCAGAAGTGCACAATTTCTATAGGAACAGTTTATGGTATGATTTGGAATATTTTAATTACCACTTATCTTGGTATGTGACGCTACAGACTTCCTGTCATACTTTAATTTTTAAATGGGAAACCACTTGACGGAAGGTTTTAAAAACTGCCGTGATTTTTCTTCTCTTTACGAAGAAAATCCTGCAGGAACTTCAAGGAATGATGTCGATTCGTTCTCTTTTATTAAAAGAAAATAGGAGCTGAGATTTTTAAACACTATAAAAAGTTTCAACCATCTTCTCTGCAAAGTTAATTTGAATTCAAATCATCCTATGAATAGAATACCATGTATTCGGAAGGGGTGAGCACTTGAGGTTTCATTTGCCTGGGGAGGCGCCTTTCAAATTCACTGCCAAAGGGACTCTAGCAATATCTGGCAAATGGAAGGTACTGTCCTAGTGCAAAAAATGTAAAGAAAGCTTAACCACCCCCTGGGCTCGATGGAGTTTGCTGGATTTTTCCCCCTATTTCTGGATTATTAGTTGAGGATGCCTACTGGATCTTTACTTTCTCAGAAGACGGAGTTAATGCTGCAACAGGAAAATTTAAGTTGGAAAGTCTGAGAAGTGGATCCGTACCTCAAAAGTCTGAAGCTACACCTTTATTCCAGCCCAAAGAGATGGTTATAGAAACATTCAAATTGTCAAAAGATGTTGACCTAGGGCAGCAGAGAAGGAACAAGCAAGGTCAAAGGTTCAACCCGATACAGGGAGAAATGGCATTGATTATTGCTCTGTTTAGAAAAAAAAAGTTTAAAAACTTGCTTTGGATGTTTTTCACCCCTCTCAGGGAAAAAGAACAGATATAAAT